AGCTATATTTGATCAGGGCTAATTGGTCATCATCGCACAGACACTTGAATGAAGTGAGACATTTACTAATAAAAATATATCTGTGCAGGAACAGCTCAAACTTCTGTAGCAAACAAGTGGCCACTTCCGGTATAGTTGTGGCGATAATTGTGTGCTGGGGTTCAGACCACTCGCGAGTTTTAACCGTTTCGCTGAACAGTTCAAAGACTCGACTCCATTCCTCACGAGTGAGACTGTGGTAGTTGTTGAATGCCCGGGGAATGGGAAGTACTGACAGCTCCAGTTCCACTGCCTTTCGGTACGTATTGTTAGAAATGCCTAAACTATCAACACTTTGATGAATGTATAATTCATCTAATGTTTCACTTATTGTCTCAATATTTTGCGATAGATTTGTATCGTTATTATTGTCTATGAAATCACTTTCAAATTGTATATTTGTAAACAAGTCTTCGGCGTTAAAGTCGTTTGTGTCCAACATTTCTAATGAGCAGTCAGTTCCCGGCGATAGACTAGGAGTCAGTAGTGAGATGTCAAGAATATTCTGTATTTCATGAGTATTTTGATCGTTTGTTTGAATAATATCTTTAATATTTTGTTTTGGTTTTTGAGTTTCCTTTTTATTAAAAAGCCATTCCTTCAATAAAAATGATTATTAGATTAAAAGTAAATAATTTAATGAATGAAAGGAAATACATGTTTCATTCCGACGGCATAACACTTGCGGAGTCGACACCTGCGGCAAAGTCTACGGTTGTGTACATTAACCTCACATTTGTCATCAAACGGACATTTATTGCACTCCTGTTTCACTCAATTAATAAATGTGTTTAAAATATAATATTATTTAAAAAACATTTCTAAAGTTTCAATCATTACGTCAAGTTTTGTGGCATTTCTCCGGAAGAATGCTTTACACGACTCGCAAGTAATGGCACAGAAGTTATTGCCTGTGAATATAAACAAGTTACTTTTGAAATTAAATATGTTAATTTTAAATATAGTCACATAGTATAGTGTAATCAATAATTAGTTAATTGTGCAAGATATTTAATATTTGCTACATACTCAGCGCTTTATCACCACACACCAAGCACAACTTTTGATTCGATGCCATTATTATAATTAATCTAATCGGGATAAAATATGTATAATTTAATTAACGTCTAATTGAAAATAATTTTATTTGTATATAACATTTTATAAAAGTTAATTGTACAGGAAATTAATTTTACATAAATATTTATATAACATCAGATATAGTAACATTACCTAGGCAACATTATAAACAATAATTGTTACAAACAAAAATTATTTTTGTACTCAATTTTTTATTTACCTTATAATTTTGTACACAGCATAGACTTAAACCGTAATTATAATGATAAAATCTTGGCTTTAACAATTTTAGATAAAACTTATTATTTCAAACAAATATTTTGTTTATTGATTTAAATAAATTCAAAATTTGAATAATAATATTAAAATCAGGTGCTTGAATGATACAATGAAATGCAAGTTGTTATAAATACACAAAATAAATAACTTCATGAGATGTCTCTTCAGACATTTTAAACTCGATTATACTTTATTTATGACATTTGTTTAACTAGTTTTCATAGATATAAAATCTATTGATAGACTCTGATAAAGTAATTACTTTGTATTGAGTTATAAACTACCCTAGCACTCAAGGACTCTAAATTAATGTTTAAAAACTTTAGCTATTATAACATAAATTCAATGCCATATAAACTCATGTATAATTAGAAATATTGATGGATTCCTTTATTAAACATTAATAAATAGTCTTAAATTATAATAAATAACTTTATTAACAAAAATAATGTAAATATTTACACACAATAAAATATTTATTTAAATTACAAGAATAATATTGAATAAAATAAAATTTAAATTGTAACTACACTTTTTAAAATATGCAATGCAATTTTGTTTATGAAGCTAATCATGAGTTTAAAAATAATTTTATTCACAGAATATTCTGACAATTCTGTAGTTATTTTGTCCAATCATTTCATAAGACAGTCAATGAATTGCCA